GTCCGGGACAGACTTGGAGCGGATTTGGGCTGGGCGGGAGACCCGCCGGCGTCTCCACTATTGCCCTCCTCCGCAAATTGTCTGGCGCCTCGCGCAGCCATGGGGCGGCAATGTATTCGAGGAAGCGGCTTGGGTGCACGCGTGAGACTTCGTAGCCGCTCTCCTCCGACGTCGCATTTTTTCCCGGAGCCGCAGGGTAAGGGGGCTAAAAGGGTTTCAGAGCTAAGAGGGTTTCAGATTAAGAAGCCGGACCCGCAGGGTAGCCCAGAGGTCGTTCTGGCTTCCGGTAGGAAGCCTTGGCGAGAGCTGCCCGAGCCGGAAACGTGTCCCGAGAGACCCTTTCTAAGCGTTTCCCAATACGCGTGCCGGGAAGCTCTCCAGAAGGCTCTTCGGAAGCTCTCTCCAGGTCCTTCCAGAGATTTTCGACAAGCCTTTCCTTGCCCTTCGGGCGATCCGCCATCCAGGTCTTGGACCTCGCGCGTCGCTGACATGGGCCCCTCTGGGGACCTGGACCTATCCAGGGCCAGGTCATCCCGAGCCGTTTCTGACGGCCCCTGGGCAGGAAAGCGGCCTCCAGAGGCCGAACACGAAACAACCAACGGCGGTCTCGACTCGCTTGCGCGGCCTGGGCCCAGACACCCGACGATGCGATTCTTCCCGCCCGCGGCCCCATGAGCTCCCGACCCCTTCCCCGCCGGTAGCCGTGCGCCCGGGATGCCTTTTTGATGGCCCTGGGGCCCGACAGCGGCCCCCGCGAGGTCGAACTGCAAGGAACACGCCACGATGGAATCAAACACGCCCTCGGAGGCAGGGGGCTGCCATCTCTTCCTCGCGTGGACCCGACGCCCCCCACCCCCCCCCTTCCCCACTCCCGCCCCCTCCCTCGCTAGTCTCGGGCTGGGCGAAAGGGGGGGATAGCAAAGGGGGGGGGTGAGAATCAGCTCACGTAGCTGACTTTTCCGGCGCCTCCCGGCGCCGGAGGCGGCCATGAGTCGAGGAATGGGCCCCCCTCGGTGGGGCCGAAACCGAAATCAGCTACATGCGGCAAATTTCGTAACCCCCCCTTTGCCTACAGTCGGACTTGATTGGACAGAACGCGCGAGAGGACACAAGACCCTTCCAAGGGCCACATTGCCATAGGAATGTAGGAGGCATGGGTCGCGAGATACATGCCCAAATGGGTACTCTTGATTTGGGGGGGTCGACCTTCTAATCAGGGCCGACTGTATCCCCCCCTTTCGTTCCCCCTCGCTGGTCCGACCAGAGGGTTGCATGGCAGGCTGCCCGCGGCGGCCGCCCCCGGCAAGGTCTCGGCCATCGGCCCTCGATCCAGCGTGCGTCGTCGCCGCCGCCGGCGCCGCTAGGCGTCGTCGTCGTCGGCCCCGCCGTCGGACCCTGACGCACTCTCGTTGTGGCACAAGCGTTAGGTCGGGCGTGTCCCCCTACAGGGGGAATTTGGACGAGACATTTTTTAAAAACACCCCAAAACTACTCAAACCTGAGCAAACATAGTAACAAAAATCGTCCCCGTACAATTTGTTTGCCTGTTTTTGAATCTTCCTCCTGTAGAGGGACAGGCCCGACTTGACACAAGCGCGACGGAAGGTTTGGGTAACTTCCCGGCCTCTGGGGAACCAGCCCAGGGGAGGGGGTCCAGATCGCTGGGGAGCGACGTTGCAAAACAAAACGCGACCCAGAATGTCCGGGGAGGAGCGCGTTTCGTCGTCTTCGCGGCAGCCGCCGTCTTCGACGGCGTCGGCATCGTCGTCGCCGTCGCCGTCAGAGCTGTGCGCCTGGACGCCCCACGCCTGCACGAGGACGAGCCCTGCGCCACCTGAAGCCTCAGTCCGAAAACCCCTGGGAGAGCACAAGCTCTACGCGGGCGCAGCCATCTGCTCCGTCGTGAAGAAGTCCCCCCCCCCCGTCGCCCTCCCGAACAAACGGGCTCTCGGGGCCCTCTGTGGGGGCGACCCGCTTCAATATGCAGAGGTGGGGGAGAAAGGGCGCGAGCAACCGTCGTCGTCGCCATCGTCGTCTTTGCCAGCGTCGTCGTCGTCGCTGGCTGGCATTGCCAAGGGGGTCACGCCAGTTCTGGGAGGTTCAAGGAAGGAGGGATGACAGATCCTTCTGTTGGTGGGGAAGGGAAGTGGGCGCTTGGAGCTTCCAGGGGGCTCTTCATCAGGCGCACGCGAAAATAGATCTTCATATAACACGGGCACCGTTTCCGTCGTTCACTGAGCTCCCCGAGGTGCCCCAGAAATCCTCTGGCCCCCTGCGGCAGTTGGGGGAATGACTGCCGATCTTCTGTTGGATACCTGCTGTGCGTCCGGCGTCCTCTGTGTCTCTGGGGGCGGTTGAGGTGGAAAGGATGGAACAAGGAATTCGTGTGTGCGTGTGTCTGTGTGAGTATGTGCGTGCGTGTGTTCTTGACTGAACTGAACTGCATGCCTGGGGACCATCGGACTCCATCGTCGGCCCTGTGCCGTGCTCGTGCTCACACGTCGGCGGGCCGCTCGTCGGCTTGCTCCCCTCGTTCGCGCCTGCTTGGCACACAGCCGACTGCAATCCGCGTCCCTCCACGCACACACACATACACACACAGACACACACACACACACACACTCCTCGTGCGCCGCTGGCTATACCTGCCGTGGCGCCAGGCCTACTCCCTTCCTTCTCCCTCGCCGCTGCACTGCGCGTGTCTTGCCTGGCCGCACCTCTGGCAGGTCTGTGCCTTTCAGCGGCCCCTCCTCGGGACCCGAACGCACCTGCCTGGCTGTTTTCTCTTATACGGCGGCCAACACCCTGCTGGCACGCGCGCCTCCCCACTGCGCGCTGCGCGCCTCTTCCGCACCGGGCACGGAGCTTCCTTCCCACGGGCTCTAAGCAGTCCGCTTTGCACGGGGGCTGGTCGTGGTCTTCCCTGCCTGTTGTCGGCCTCTCCATCCACAGTGCTGGTTGCAGTTAGCTTGAACGCACCCATGTCATGCTCTCGCGACAGTGGCGCCACTTCACCAGCTGAGGAACAGTGTTTGCTTACACTGTTATAGCTGGTCGAGCTGCAAGTCGTCCACCAGCTTGCTTCGCCCTCTGTTGCGACTCTGGTGACATTTTTCCCAACTCGCTTCCCGTGAGAGCTCTGCCTTTCTTGCCTTCCAGTACTCATCTGGCCTGCCCATCGCGCGGGACACAACGGCCCTCGGCCAGAGTGCGCTCGGCACACGCCCGAATACAACTCGTTCGCCCGCCTCCTGGATTCCTTGCACAGGCTGCTGCGGCAACGCCTTGGCGGTGGGGAGAAGGTGCGTGCGATGTATGGGGTTCTTGCTGGCTCTGCCGTGTCCTCCACCCCTCTTCCCTCGTTGGCCTCCTTGCCTCGCCTCGAGGCGCGGAGCTGTGCGCAGCACGTCGGAGCGGCGCCCGGCGCTGCCCCTGCCTGGGTTGGAGTGCGCGGCTCAGTGCACCAGCCGCCCCCTCTCCGTGTAGACGTGGGAGCAGATGGACCGGGAGGCGAGAGCAGGAGCCCAAGCGAGAGCACGATCAGGACGAGGAGGAGGAGGAGGAGGAGGAGGAGGACGGGGTGGAGGTGGCCGAGGAGGGCCGGAGGGAGGATGACTGAGGAGGAGGGAGGAGGACAGAGAGCAGAAGCAGCAGGAGGAGAGTGTGGGGCAGGGGGAGGAGGAGGGGCAGGAGCAGCAGGAACAGGACCGGTAGCCACAAGGGGGTACGAGGAATGCGAGGAGGACGAGGGGGAGGAGGTGGAGGAGGAGGAGGAGGAGGAGGAGGAGGAGGAGGAGGAGGAGGAGGAGGAGGAGGATCATTAGGAGAAGGATGTGGAGGACGAGGATCAGGCGTTGCTGCCGCTCTTTGATCACCTTGAGGGGTGTGGGGGGTCCCACGGAGCGGCGCTTCACTCGAGCTTTTCGTTTTCTTCAAGCGACGCCATCCCTACGAAGGTCGAAGCTAGATATCGACGACCCGCATGCTCCGAAGCGTGGGACTGCGGGCGCCTTGTGATCCACTAGATCGGCCTTACGCGGATCCAAATCGGACATCGCCCCTATGTGTGCCCCCAAACGTACGAATGGCCAATTCCAGAAGCCTTGAATCCAAACACATTGGTGCATGCTTTACTTGCGTCGGCTTCCGTCGGCGGAGCCGCCACCGTTTTGACTCCGCCGGCTTCCGCTGGTCTTTCGCCGAGGAAGACATATCAGCTCCTGCGATTCTTCGAGGGCGAGGTCATTTCGTGAGCGCCCTCGCATGGTGAAACTGCCTGACTCCTGGGCAGAGCGAGTGCAATGGCATCCTGCGCGATCCAAGCTGCCTCGCACCCCTGTGGTCCCAGACGTGGCGTCCCAGCCGCTCATCTCGGCACACCCCTCGCGCGGGCCGTGCCCCAAGGGGAGCTCCACCTGCTGCATCAGTGGGGAGGGTTCACACGCGTCCCCCACCGACTTCGGCACACCGCTCACGCGGAGCCTGCCTCACAGGGACCTTCGCTTGCAGCTCCAGCGAGGGCGCCCGTATGCACCCCCTCGCGCCACTGATCGTGCCCCACCACCACCATCTTTTCACAAGGCTCAGGGGCGGGTCCCTCGCCAGGCCAATTTCTACCCTCCAGGGCATCAGATGACGCATCCTGCCAGACGACAGCAGCTGGACTTTCAGACTGTGCGCTGAAGCTCCGCCTGACGTCCACAGAGTTTTGGAGCAAGGCGAGTTGAGACAATGGCAGCTCTAGTCGGGGGCGTCCCAGAGGGGAGCGTCCAAGAAGGGGGTGCGCACATCATGACCCGAGGCAAGTGCGCGGCCCAGGGGGGGCCAGGGGACGTATCGAAGTAAGACAAGGGGGCCATGAGATTTGGGAGATATCATGACCCTGGCCAAGATATCCACACCCCTCTAGTCATCACCCCCATCATGGCCGCCCCCGATCCACATCTGTCCACATCTGTCCCTGGACACCTCCCGGGGGCCCAAACGCACCATTTTTTTCCCGACGGGCGTCCAGCCGTGTCGACGCGCACCCCCTCCGAAGGCCAACTGCCGTTGTCTGAACTCGCCCTCCTCCTCCTCCTCTGAAAATGAATTGCCATGTGTAGCACACAATTACGTGGCATCACGGCGCAAAAAAAGGAAACACCCGCGCGTTGCCACGCAACGCCGGTCAACGGCACGCGCCCGCCACCGCGCCTCTCCGCTCGGGCGGGCAAGGCTGACCGGGCCAGACCTGGGCGACGCGCTCGCTTAGCAGCGCTATCTCCAGCCCAAGCCGCCTGTTGCTGCGCTCCACCTTTAGAGGATAAGTTATTCTCAGACCTACCGGTGATCTCACACTGCAGTATGTCGTCGTCGTGTCGTCTCGTCCCCCTGCCCTGCCTCTCTGGCCTCTCTGGCCTGCCCCGTCCCGCCCAGGGCCTCGGAGTGCTGCGTCTTCGTCGTCTCGTCGTGTCGTCGTGGCCTCCCCTGGCTCTCCTGGCCTCGCTGGCGCTCCCACCTGCCCTGGCCTCCTGGGCCTTGGCCTCTCTGGCCTCCCCCGTCATCCCTAGGCATCCCTGGTGGTCCCCTTGCTCTGGCCTCCCTGGCCTCGTCCGTTCCCCCCAGGGCTTCGGCGTGCTGTACTTTCGTCTCGTCGCGTCGTCGTGGCCCTGGCTCCCCTGGCCTCCCTGTGGCCCCCATGGCCTTCCATTGCCTCCCTGGCCCCCCCCGCGTCGCCCCCAGAGCCTCCTCTGGCCTCCCTGGGGCCTCAGCCTTGCCCTGGCCTGTCGGGCCTGCTTCATTTTCGCGTCGCCGTGTCGTCGTGTCGTCGCGGCCTCCCCTGGCTTCCCTGGTGCCCCCCCCCCTGCCCGGGCCTCCCTGGCCTCTATGGCCTCCCCCCCCTGGCCTCTCTGGCCTCTCTGGCCTTCCCCCTTGGCCTCTCTGGCCTCCCCCGTCCCCCCCCCCAGGGCTTCGGATTGCTTTCTTTTCGTGTCGTCGTCGGGCCGTCGTGGCCTCCCCTGGCCCCCCCTGGCATCCCTGGTGGCCTCCCTGCCCGTCGATTCCGGCGGCAGCGCTGAGTCAGACGGCATTGGTCGACGAAATCGAAGAGCGCTACAGTTCGTCGTTGCCTCGTCATGGTCGCTTGCCGGCGTGTCGCAGCACCCACGCACTTCCCCGATGCTCCCATCGCCGGGCGCCTGCTGCATTGACCCCCCGCTGCTGCGCAGCCGTATCTGCATCGGCGGTGGAAGTGAACCACACTTTAGTAGCGAAAACGGCCTAGGCCCGAAACCGACGGACCTGGACCCGCAAAAAAGACGGCCGCGACGCCCTCTCGCGAACCGAAAACGGCCGAATCGCTAATCGACGTCTCAGGGTAGGAGGTCTATCAACTGACCTCCGATTGTATGATCCCTGGCACGCGTGCCTCCTGCTGTGCTTCGAGCGATCCCCCCCCCGAGAGCGCGAGGCAGGACCCCCAGGAGAAAAGCGCGGGCACACTCTGGGCCTGGCGGCCGTGGCATGCCATCGCCATTCGTCGAACCGGCGGCCGCGGTCGGGGGGGCGTGGACCCAAGGAACCCTAAATAAGGAACGACGCCCCTGCTTCCAGAAGTGAAGCTTCGATCCCCCATCGAAAACCTAGGGAACATCTGAGGTAACCTGTGGAGGAATGGAGGAACACGGAGCCCCTCCCCAACGAAGAGGGTTCCTGCTTCAGCGCCCCGGCTGTATGCAGGGTGTGCGAGGAGGGTCGGGTGCACTCACCTTCTCTGAGTCTTACCACCCCCAGCCCCAACCTGTCGTGTGGGGAAGACACGACGCTCCCGAGAACTTTGAAGGTCCGCGCGGAGTTAGATCGGCGCTGGAACCACCCCCTCCCTGGCGCGCGGAGCGCGCCAGGGGCGGCGCCGGAGGCGCCGCTCGCGCCTCCGAGAGTGTATGATGGTGCAGATTTCTGGCCCTCGAGCCTTGGCAACCTCGCGCAGCTTCCCCCTGCACCTGATTGGGGGGCCGAAAAGGGGGCACTGGCCCAGGGGAACAACAATCACCTGGAATCGACGAACTTAGCTGCCCCGATACGCTACACGCAACACGTAGCGTATTGATACGGAGCTCAACACGTAGACTGAACACGTACGCTTTGAACACGGACGCCTTGAACACGGCACGCGTTTCGTTTCAAAACGTGCGTATCAGAGCAGCTACGTTGACGAAACATCGCCGATGGATCTGGGCCGCCGACGGGGAACTCAAACCGTTCCTGGACAGGCTCGGGCACCCCAGCCGCGATCGGCGATCCGTGAACGATCGGGGGCCGCTGCTCCCTCTCGTGGGTGGTCCTCGTCGCCTGGACTTCGGGCCATCGCTTGGGCCTCCAGCGGCCGTGTGCGGGGGGCGATCCGGGCACACCCGGCACGCCCTCGACGAGGCGCAGCTGCTGGAGAGCACCTCGAGGCTGGGAAACCGCCGAGCACCGACTCCCCCCCCCCCACGCTGCCCCTGAGTGTCTAGACGAGCGCGTTCCACTACTCGCAGAGGTAACTACTCGCAAATGGCCTGGACCCCCCGCGGTGGATCTACGATAAGCTACGTCAAAGCAAGCAGACATGTGTTCTCATCATCAGGGGAAGAATATTCTCACAGGCCGCGGTCATCCCATTCGGGGATTCGGTGATTCGTTCGCCCTACGGCTGCTCCGCTCCCTCGCTCACCGCCCGTGCCCGAGGCGGGATCGCAAATTTCGGCCGTGGCTCCGGAGGGAGCTTCCGAGGCGGGCCGCCGCCTCGGCGAGGCTGCGCGCCCTCCCGTGCCGCGGGCGTGGCTCGTGCTGCGCCTCGCCAGCGCGGCCGGCTCTCCCACCCGCCCTCCCCTGGGGAGGCCGTGCGCTGGCCAGCCGGGGTCTCGAGAGCCTCTCGGGGGTCTCTCGGGCTTCCCCGTCCTGCCGCACGGTGTGCTTTGCCCAAAAAGGGCCCTGCGAACGCACCGGACCACCCCACGGAGAGCGGCCAGGCAGGAGGCATCTCGGACGTTTGCGAGCAGGCACTTCGCGAGTAGTGGAACGCGCTCGGTGGGTGTCGGCGCCCTCAGCACCTGATGCCGGCCAGGGCAACCACGAGCTCCAGCTCGGAGGGCCACTCCCTCGCGCAGGCCCGGCCGTTGGCACGCTCCCGGTCGCCGCCCGCGGCCGGCGGCGGCGGGCGCCACGAGGCCGGCAGGGACCGCGGGGAGCCCCGCGAGTGCGCCGCGGACCTGAGGGGAGGCAGCCCCCCCAGACGGGCTCGGGTCGTGGCATCGCATGTCTGGAGGCCTCCCTGATGGGGTCCGAGCAGACGGGGGCGGAGACTCGCGCCGCATTGCCGATGCATCGGCGATGTCGCTCGAGGTGGAGCCCGATGTTCTCCACGCCGACGTCGCCGATGCATCGGCGATACGGCGCGATCCTCCGCCCCCATCTTCTCGGACCTCATCTGGGAGGCCAAGAACTTCTGAGCCCAGACATACAACGTCTTTGGGAACCGCACGGAATACACCAAGGTATCTGGGCCTTGTCCCATGGGGCTTCGCCGAAACGCCACATGACGACGTATATTTTCTGGCCGGTTCTCTGGGCGATAGGCGTTGAACAACTACTCCGTCTCTTATAGTAATATCCCCGGGGATGGCCCCCACCCCTCTGTCACCTCACCATGTTCGGCTCCTTCGCGCGCACCCGGCTCTTTCAACACGGCTCCGAGACGGACCCCGATCGTTCCCATGGCCCCTCCGACGGCCAAGACGCTCTGGGTGGTCGCTCACATACGGCCTCAAAGCGTTCAACACGGCCCGCGCCAACGTCGAAACCACGGATAGACTTCACGCCAGCCCCAAGAGAACGCCCAAGAGGGCCCCAAGACGCAAACACCATCCCGATCGCATTTATGAAAACGCGCATTTCCAATCAAGTCCGTTCCTTCGTTTTCAGGGCGCCCCGAACCGCCCAAGAACCCCCCAACATCGCCCCAAGATGGCCCAAGAAGGCCCCAAAACGCTGTATTAAACCTCAGGAGCGCTCCAAGATGGCCCCAAGGGACCCCAGGACGAGCCAAAGAGACCCGCAAGACCACCCCAAAATGGCCCCAGCCCCCCAGAGGCCCATGAGACGCCCCCCAAAGGCCCCAGAAGACCTCCCAAAGGCTTCCAATGGCCCCCGCAATGCCTTCAAGAACTCCTCACGGAGTTCCCCAAATGCCTTTAAGAGTAATTCAAAGGCTCTCCAAGGTCGCCAAGACCATCGTCAAGCAAGAAGCCCAGCCGCCGCTGAGCGACCGCGCGCGGCCTCCAGCCCAGCCTCCTTCCGCCGCGCGCGGCTCCCGGCCCAGCCGCTCTCCAGAAATACAGAGCGGTCCCGCCAGGAGGACAACTATACCTCGCTCCGAAGGCCCACCTGACGTGCCAGGAGCGCGCGCTGTCGTCTGGACACCTCCAAAAGCATTCGGAGGCCCCCCACGGCTCCCCGAACTTTCGGAAGAGCCCCCTGCCCCAAGAAGTGTCCAAGATCGGCCCACGCGGCCTACGATGCCCCAAGGAAGGTCCCAAAGAAGCCCCAAGACGGCCGCAGCATGTGAATCCACATCAACGAAAACACGAAACTCTTCTTACCCAGACGTAGCAGTAGTAGTAGTAGTAGTAGTAGTAGTACTAGTAGTAGTAGTAGTAGTAGTAGTAGTAGTAGTAGTAGTAGTAGTAGTAGTAGTAGTAGTAGTAGTAGTAGTAGTAGTAGTAGTAGTAGTAGTAGTAGTAGTCGTAGTAGTAGTAGTAGTAGTAGTAGTAGTAGTAGTAGTAGTAGTAGTAGTAGTAGTAGTAGTAGTAGTAGTAGTAGTAGTAGTAGTAGTAGTAGTAGTAGTAGTAGTAGTAGTAGTAGTAGTAGTAGTAGTAGTAGTAGTAGTAGTAGTAGTAGTAGTAGTAGTAGTAGTAGTAGTAGTAGTAGTAGTAGTAGTAGTGTAGTAGTAGTAGTAGTAATAGTAGTAGTAGTAGTAGTAGTCGTATCGTAAGTAGTAGTAGTATTAATAGTAGTAGATAGTAGTAGTAGTAGTAGTAGTAGTCGCTGTAGTATAGTGGTAAGTATTTCCGCCTGTCACTAGTGGTAGTAGTGGTAATACTAACATAGTAGTGGTTATAGTAGTAGTAGTATTATTAGTAGTATAGTAGTAGTAGTAGTATAGTATTAATAGTTAGTAGTAGTAGTAGTCGTAGTAGTAGTAGTCGTGGTCTAATAAGAAGTTAAGTAGTAGTAGTCGTCGTAGTAGGAGTAATAGTAACTATAGTAGTAGTAGTAATTCTTAATAATAAGTAGTAGTAGTCGTAGTAGTAGTAGTAGTCGTAGTAGTAGTAGTAGTAGTAGTAGTAGCAGTGGTGGTAGTAGTAGTAATAGTAGCAGTCGTAATAGTAATAATAGTCGTGGTAATATCTGTAGAAGTAGGAGTAGTAGTCGTAGTAGTCGTAGTAGTGGTAGTAGTAGTTAGTAGTCGTCGTAGTAGTAGTAGT